CACAAAACGCATGATCGCACCGGCTAGCCTGGTGCGCGTTGCCATTTATTTTTTTTGCGTTTATGGGCTCTTTCATTTTGAAAATGCACAGCCGGCAAGATAGGAAGAATTCGAAAACTTAACATATTTTTCGAATTTGTTAATTTAGCTCGGATAGTTTTTTTCTAACATCTAAGGCGCATAATATCTTGGTAGAATTCTCTTAAATGATATACACCATCGCTTGGTGCTAGTTTTTGATAGCTAATATTGAGATTTTTATCGGAGGGCTTTGAATAGCAGGCTCTTTTTGCGGCTTGGTAATAGCGCTACAAGCTGTTCTCGCTATTTTTATTGCTAACGGCAATGTAACATTTTCTGAGTTCGGTTTAAATCCCTGTCCCTCAGCTGTTGTGAGAAGAGTGAAAGAAAAAACCTTTATGTAGGGTAAGTCGATTATTAGTTTAATAACTAACATACCACTTTTTATGGGATTCGGGCTTCTAGTGAAGATGGGATCGCTCCCTTTCCTCCTCATGTTTTGCAAGAAGAGTTGCGTCTGCGCTTTCTTTGATGCCGTGGTCTTACAAATGGTATTTAACTTGAAATCTTTTGTGAGGATTTGAAACGATTTACGTCATTTGTAGGATGTCGACGAACAGGCCTCATCCTCAGAATCACGTAAACGACGTGTTTCGCTGGAAGAGTTGATTGCTCGACGACGAGAAGCTATCATTGCGGCACATCCGATACACATCGATATGGAGATCACTTGTCAAGGTTTGGCTTCTCGAAACTTCTTTTCATTTATCCCTGGAGTGCGAAACTATTCACCATAGTTTTAGCAAGTGGGTGCTATAGGGGAAAGCGGTTAGGAATTCACGAGCAGTTTTTTAAAACTGGTTTTTCAGCAATATCAATTGTGACGAGTCCATTCTACTTTTCTTGAATGAATGGATGCCAAAAATTCATATGCTTAGAATTAAGAAAATGAAAAAAGTAGGGCTCAGAAACTTGAAATTTCTTTTAATCGTGATAAAATCGCGACAACCCTGATCGGAGAGGCCGGGTAAAAAAGCAGAAATGAAAGGCTACCACATCAAAATTAAAAACCTAAAGTTAGGAATGTTTTCGTTTTTATGCGTTTTTGCCGTGCAGCGCTAGAGCGCTGCAACAGGCAGCAAAAACGCATA